CTACAATGCTATAATAACAGCAAGAGCAGATCTACTATTTCAATGTGGCATAACCAAATGCAACCAAGCCAATATGATAGAACTACCTTTTTTTGAAAATAATAATAGTTATAAAAAACATAGTTGTCATAATTACAATTAGGGTATGCAAGTCATCAGCTTACCTTGGAATTCGAGTAAAATATGTGTGATTAAGAAAATTTTGTTTATTGGAACACCTTTAATTAAAAAAACAATACAAAGGAAAAACAAATTTTGTTATTTACCTATAAGTGGAAAAATTTAGGCAGAATAATTTCTACAATTTATATTTTTTTTTCCTTTCAAGTTTTTCTGTCTTTCATATTAAATAAGAAAATTTTCTTTTACAGTTTTGATGTTTAAAAATATAAAATATTTGAAAATTCTTCAATTTATGCTAATTTTTTTCAGGCATTTTCTGCATTAGCACATGAAGCAATGCTTCACGCTAAGACAATGGGACTAAAAGCAGTTTTTACAGATCATTCCCTATTTGGGTTTGCAGATGCCAGTGCCATAATCACAAATAAACTTCTCCAAATGACTTTGAGTGTCTGTAATCATGTGATATGTGTGTCTCATACTGGGTATGCTATATTTAGATATATTTTAATTACTATATAATAGATATAGTTTGATTTTTCTTTACGATTATAAAATGTGTATTGTTTATTAATATCTTTTTAAGGTATTCTCATGTTTTTTGTTAAAATATGAAATTAATTTATTGTAATAACTCCTCTCATTGCTATGCAATGAGGTCGTAACACACGTGTATGTTGTTCTGGTACTTTTTGGGAAGCAGGCCACCATTTTGGAATCTGAGTATTATTTCTTTTTCTTTTATAATTATGAATTTCTTTCTTTGATGAATCAAGTTTTTATGCTCTTAGCAGCATGTTTCTCAAAGTTCTATTACCATACCTGCCAATTCTCCTGTTTTTTAACAAAGACTCCTGTTTTTTATCAAAGACTTCCACCTGTTTGCCTGCATATTCTCAAATTTCTCCATATTTGTTGAAAAAGTTGTATGCTGTATGTTGAATGTTAATATTTTAAGTACCTTTTGCGGACAGGCTACCCTTGGGATGTTTTCGTGGTTTTCCTTTCCATGTAACGCAAATGCGGGTTAGTTCTATCAAAATGTCCTCCACAATATAAAAATTTCTTCCAATACTTGATTGATCCAGGAATTTCCTTGTCTTCTGGATTGGTTTCAAAATTACAAGGCAACAGAGTTGAACACTAGTAGCCATAAACCAAAATTTGGGTCGGCTGTTTAACAATGGTTATAAAATAGTTTAAGTAATTATAAATAATGGTTTAAAAGAATCTTCTTTAGATTAAGATTTACATACATATTTTTTAATTCGCTAAATGTAAGTGCTTATGTTATTTCCACTTTTGAATTTCTCTTTTGACTTACATGATTATACATGATATATCGCTAGTAAAACAGTAAAATCTCCGTTAATTATTTTTCCTACATTGTTGGCAGGTATGTATTACCTTATCAGATATATGTATGCTGATTCAGAATGACAAGTTTCTGAGAATATATATGTAAACAGATTTTTTGAACATTGTTTTCCTTTTGTAATTAGTTTATATAATTTACTTTTTTATTTTGTTTTTGTATTTTGCATTCTCTGCTCCTGGACTTTTTTGCAAAATCTTTGGGATACAGCGAGAGCAAAGTTTAAACATTTGAAGTGCTCTCTCTATAGAAAAGGTTTTGTGTTTTTTTTCTTTTCGGAGCTGTCACCCCTTGACGATGTCAGCTTCGGATGTCATTATTATATTTTTTGTTATTTTCATTGTTTTCTTCTTTAAAATTTTCTATTGGTTTCAATTTTCTTATGGAATTTTTACTGCTTTTCTTTGGAATTGTAGTATTTATCTGCTTTATTCATGATTTTTGATTTCTTATTTTATTACCCTAAATGTAAAGTTTTTTTTGTTTATTACATGCCATTTTTAAAAATTTGTTTTGATTTCATAATTGCTGTTTTTACTTTTAAAGTTTATTTTTTGAAATGTACTTATTTTAATTAGGAAAGAAAATACTGCTCTTAGAGCAAATGTTTGTCCAAATACAATATCAGTTATACCAAATGCAGTGGATACAACGATCTTCAAGCCGGATTTCTTGCCAAAGCTAAAGTCAAGAAGTAAAGTAATTTATGCCAACATGTTCACCTTATTTTTTCTGAAAAATTTCATTTTTATTCCTTTTAGCTTTCATTTTCTCATGGCACTTGTCAGGGTCCTGATTCCTCTTCCACGCATTTGATTGACCCCTGACCTAAGGGTCAGAGGGTAAGGGACACGGGAAGTGTTGGGGGTGGAGCGAAGGACTTTTTCTTGTGAGAAAGAGGATTTTTAGTTAGTATTAGCTGGAATATGAGAGAGAATGTATGAATCAGAAGGGAGCAGTAGCGCTCCGGAATATTATATTCTGCCGTTCATGTATATTTCTGTAATTTATTGTAAATAATTATTTAACCCAGATTCATGAAATAAATAAGTTATACCATCAAATCCAGGGTCATCATTAAGAGGATTTCATTAAACGAACCGAAAGAGAAATGTCTCACAGCACTTATGTCCCAAAGTTAAAAGATAGGCTCTCTCATATCTTAATTATATATAAGAGCCCGTTGCAGAATCGTGGGGACACAGCGACATTGTCGCAGAACACTACAGAGTTCTTGCAGAAAGGGGGATTATTTTATTTGGGAAGAAAACAAGTTTGATTTTTTTATCTGCAGAATTTTTGGAAAGATTTTTTTTCTGCAGAGCTTTTTTTCTTCCTTTTCTGCAGAATCATTTTCAAAAAATGCCTTTCTCGTATATCAGAGATGGAAGAAACGCTCATGTTTTTTTTTTTTTTTTACTTTGCTTTGGGAGTAAAAAAAATTCCCAATGACTGATTGATATTATAAAAAGTAATTTCCAAATCGATAAAATTTTCAAAAGTTAACTGCACAAAAAAATTTTTGTAACAGGACAACATCAGGTTAACATCGCCAATGATATCAGAATATCTATTCTTTTTGATGTATATCGAAAAAAAAAATTCTTGCATTTATAATTAAAAAAATTATATGCTNATATAGACATATATATATATATATATATATAAGTTGAAATATAGACATAGACAAACTCTGCATTAGAATTGTAACTCCACCTTGCCAGACTTTCATTATCACTACTCAAATCTTGTTTTTAGTCTTATCAACTGATATTGTTTGAATCCTTCCAATTTTACTGGGTATTCAATGTCTGTTAACTCTCATTTATGTTCAACACAATTACATTCATAACCAATCATTCATATTCCTCATTTGATTCATATTCATTCATCAGTTCGATGTATTCAAAAAAATAATTGTAGTTTTGGGAATCCATGTATTCCACCAGTTTCATAATAATCAAGCTTAAATAACTGGTTTAGACCAAACACCTATTTAACAGGGTGCATAGAGTTTTTTAAAAGTAATTAAAGGTGCTTATTTTTGATTTACGTTTTTTAAAAGCCCTTAAAGGTGCTTTTTTTAATCAGGGTTTGTAAAAAGGGCTTAATCTTTTAAAACGAGATTTTTCATTGCCGTATTGATTGTCGTTCTAAATTGCAAAAAATTCATGATTTTCACTATTTTTTCTGCAATATTTATCAAAAACTAGTTATTTTATCATGATTATTTAAAGTTTTTGAAAATTTTTTTGAATTTTATTGATTTTATGTTTATAAATGAAGAACTTTCAAAGATAGAAAAAAAAAATATTTTTATTACTGCACAGATCCTAATTATGATATTTTTTTGGAAAGTGATTAAAAATATTTTTGGAGTACTTAAAAGGTGCTTATTTTTTGTTGAAAAATCAGGCTACGCACACTAAAAATATGTACAGATAGATATTTATTAATAATGCAAGATTGTTTAATATTTATGTTATTATTCATATTAATAATTTCATTGTACAAGTAATCTTATGTTCTAAAATAAATAATAATTTATTTTAGTTGCAATCGTTGTCATCAGTAGACTTGTTTATAGAAAAGGAATAGATCTACTTGCAGAAGTGATTCCACAAATTTGTTCCAGATACCCCGATGTAGATTTTATAGCTGGTATGTGCTTTAAATGTATTTTTCCCTCTCAGTTCGTAAGCGATATTTAAATACCAGTCTTAATGGAGAAATATTTAAAAAGAGAAAGGGACAAAACTATTTTTTTAGTTTTCAAAGTAAAGGAAAGCATTAATTAGAAAGTTACAAGAGTTAAAAATGCATATTGAGTTATAATGTAACATTTTGTTGGATATTTTAAAACAGGAGGATTCAAAACTTATGGCTGGCTGGCAGAAGTGGCCCAAGAGACCTTATTAACTTGACACTTGTTCTGCCTCAAATATTAATAAAAATATGAAAGAAGAAAACATCTTTAAAATATTTTTTAGCCATGCTCTAGAGAAACAGTTATGTATCTTTATCTAAAGTAACAGTTATGATTACTGATGTAGTTCAGTTTTTTTTAAATATCTGATTGTAACTATTTTGTTTTGCAAATTTTGTTAATGGCTATGGGTTCAGGAAGCTTTTTCAGTTTTCAGCCTCTAATTTGAAATTATAATCAAAAATAAAAAAATAAGAAAGGATGAGTAATCAATATTACATTATAACTATCTTTAAATTAAGGAGAAGACNATCTGATCGTAACTATTTTGTTTTGCAAATTTTGTTAATGGCTATGGGTTCAGGAAGCTTTTTCAGTTTTCAGCCTCTAATTTGAAATAATAATCAAAAATAAAAAAATAAGAAAGGATGAGTAATCAATATTACATTATAACTATCTTTAAATTAAGGAGAAGACATATATTTTGCAGGTAAATAATTCCTTTATTGATTTTATTTACCAACTTTTGATTGTGTTATGCTTTTGACAATCAAATGACTCTTCATGCAATTGAAAACTGGATCTCATACCACATGATTTATTTGACCAATGAGAATGCATGAACCAATCATACTTTTCGTCTGATTTTTATGTATATAATAGTTATTTTATCCTAGGTGTCTTGTCATCAAATTTGATTTAAATACTTGCTATTAGTAAAATTCTTTACAATGTTTGTTTTGCTAAAACTCTTCTTAAGCAAGTAGTGTGTACTTCAGCTGTTTTTGGATAAAATTCCAGATGTTGAAAATATCTAAAACCATTCTTTAAAATACCCCAAACCATACAATTCTAATTTACAAGGATACAAATAACATTATTGCAACTGTATTTGTAATTTATGATATCTTTGTTTTCTTAAAGTAAAGTTATTTTACATTTTTTAACTATATTTTGAGGAAAAATTATAGCAAATTCCCTTACAGCAGTAGGGTATGAAACATTTACAATGAACTTAATGTCAATGAAACTGGGCACTAAATTTTATAGCAAAATGTAGTGAAACCATTGGCCACATCATGACAAAGATGTCCTAACTTTTTATTGTATTTTTTTTTTGTTGAGATTTTGGTTTTAAATTAGTTTTGGAGAACAGATACTTACCATCAAAGTATTGTAAACTGGAGTTATGTATTAACCCATTTTCGTCCAAAGATGTGCAAACGCACCATTTCAATTAATATTTTTTATTAACACTGTGACATATATTTTTCATTAATTTTATTTTTACTTAAAACGGTTATTGACAAATAAAATATTTTGAAAATGTATAATTACTTCTTTTAAGATTTATCATTATGTTTTTATGATGGATTAAAGTTGAAAGTCAGTAAATAAAAAAAAATATTAAACAAATTTCATAAAAAAAGCAAGAGTTCACCGAAATGGTTTGTTCATTGATTTGGTGAATGGTGCCTATATGCACCATTTTATTTCTTGAATAAAATTTAATTTTTATACACGAAATTTTGTTTCTTAATGAATGTAATGTAAGCATATTTGAATGAAAATAATTCATTTTATAAAATTTATATACTTGGCTTAAAATGAGTTAAACTATTTTATGTAAAATCATCAGTATCAAAGTGCGTCTGTAATTAGAGAGATAAAATGTTCTAAACTGGAATAGAAACTTTGATAAAACTAAGTTTTTTTTTTTGAATTATTACAGGCGGGGATGGTCCTAAGAGAGTTTTAGAAGAAGTTCGAGAACGTTGCCAACTGCAAGAAAGAGTGACTCTTCTTGGAGCCGTAAAGCAAACGCAAGTCCGAGATGTAAATATGTTCTTCCGTTTATCTCACAAAGGCTTTTATTATAGTTATTTATTTAATGTTATAGTTTTTTAATTATGGTTTATAGTTTATGATTTAATTTTTGTTTAAAATAAGTTATATGCTCATTTCAGTCAAAATATTAAATTATTTTATTCTACATATAATGTTCAAATTATGACAAATGTAACTTGATTCTGATTGGTGGTTTGGTTTCTAGAGTAGTTTATGTGCATTAAGGTAGTCACATTTGTTAGCAAAACTTTAAATGCATTTTGCAAATGTATGTTTTTCTTTCTTTTGCAAGATTAAATTCGATGCGATAGATGCAAAATTCAATTTTTGTTAAACTTTTTTGTTATTTTGCCTGGTATGGTACACATTCTAACCAGGGCTCAAAAAACCACCCGTCCTCGGCGGTCAAAAATTCCCCGCGGGCAACAAATTTCTCGGATCCGACGTCCGACGGCCATTTTCCCGCTAATGTTTGTGATACATTTTCAATTTTTGTTTTCTTACAAGAGTCGAGCGCCTCACTTCTAAAATGACCCTCTAATCTAGAAATCCCGTTAATTCTTTTATTACTGAATAATGTAATCCTAGTAACTACTAATTCATTGTGCAATTATGTAAATGTTTCTAATAAATAAGAGAAAATTATATTTTTATTTATTTAGAAGCTACGGGTTAGTTTCAAAGGAGGACATGTACATTGTTGAACAAGCCGTCCTAGGGGACGGGTAAAATTTCTGAGTTTTTTC